TTCCTCTCTCCAGGCTTCTTCTCTTGTCCCTAGGGCCTGGGGCTCTAAAGGGCTGCCCTTGGTAAACACCGAAGCAAAGAAGGCATTCAGCAACTCTGCTTTTTCTGTGTTATTTGTAAACAGGGTGCCCATCCCGCTCACCAGCGGACCCACGTTTTCCCTGATCTTCCTTTTGCTGTTAATGTATTTGAAGAAATTTTTCTTCTTATTTTTAACATCCCTTGCCAGATTGCATTCCAACCGCGCCTTAGCTTTCCTTGTCGCATCTCTGCATTCCCTGACTATGTTCCTGTATTTCTCCCAGGGTTTCGTTCTGCTTTTGTATGTGGGGAAGGTGTGAGCCATAATGAGATGAGGGTGATAAAGTCCTTACCATCTCCCTTGGCTGATTAAGTGAAATTGAGGATGTCTCTCTTCCTGGTGGCAATTTTCATCGGTTTATGAAGGTCATCAAAGAATAGACCTCCTGTAGTGGCTTTCTGATGGTGGTTGCAGAGCCAGTGACGTTATGGTTGGACTCGATGATCTCGAAAGTCTTTTTCCAACCGTAATGATTCTATGATGTAACCGTGTGTTGGTACTCATTGCAAGCTCACACAACCCAATAGGCCACCGTTGGGCCCTAAGAGCACCTCCAAGGTTTTCGGTCAGTGGGCTGAGGCTCATTTTAATGAGAATATCTTGAGTGAGGCTTTTGCTCGCTTGCATCCTAAAATCAGAAATAATTGACTCCAACCCAAACTGTGCAATGAATTGACTCGGTAGAACTCCAGCTGCGTGACCACCTTCCTTTCCTTGTGGAGTGTGTAGACCCATGGAGATTTAAGCCCTCATGCAAGCCCTCATGCATGAGTTTCTGCTAGCAGAGACTGGTCGTATTGAAGGCTGTGGGAGATCCTGGTCTCTCCATGCATCATCCAGGGCATCTTTACGCTCTTACGACTGTGGCTTTCAGCTTCAGTTGTCCAGAGGGGGAACATGTGATGTTAGCAGCTGGTGGCGCAGGAGGTGGTGGCACTGATGGTGAGACTGTGAGGTATTTCCCTGGAGGGGAAGCTGCCTTGGCTCACTTCTGCTCTAAATTTCGTGGTGTGTGGTCATTTGTCATCTGTGCCTGCTGGGCCCATTTAGTCTGGAGAAGACTGAGAGGAGATTTGATCAACATGTTCAAGTACCTGAGGGGTGATTGTAGGGAGGATGGGGCCAGGCTCTTCTCCGTGGTGGCCAGTGACAGGACGAGGGGTAACGGGTGCAAGTTGAAACACAGGCAGTTCCACCTCCATGTGAGGAAGAAGCTCTTTCCTGTGAGGGTGACAGAACCCTGGAACAGGCTGCCCGGAGAGGCTGTGGAGTCTCCTTCTCTGGAGATCTTCCAAACCCGCCTGAATGCCACCCTGTGCCCCGTGCTCTAGGTGTCCCTGCTGGAGCAGGGGGGTTGGACTAGATTATCTCTAGAGGTCCCTTCCAACCTCAACTGTTCTGGGATTCTGTGCCTTCCTTTCATTTGCTGTGTGGTGCTAAGCACAAGTATGTGAACGGCTCCACGTTGGAGCGGCAGTGGCTGATAATTTCTTGAAAGTTGCGTTTGAATGAGCCGCATCCTCCAAAAGGGGCAACTTCTTTGCAACCTCGGTTATTTGGGATATTTGAGGTCTGGTTGGACGAAGTCCTGCTGAGCTGGGCCCATTCGGAGCTGGTGGTTGCCTGACTGACCCCAATCGACAGTTTCTGTCCCCAGAGCAGAGTTTGGGGCATGAAACCCCTCTGTCTCAGGGGGTTATACATTTAGAAAGAATTAAAGGATTTTCCTGTGACTGGAAAGCACAGCTAATGTAAAAGCCCACGGGGAGGCTGCCGAGGGACAGGGACCTTCTGGTGGCAACCAAAGTTGGAAAAGCACAGGCTGTGGCTACTAGCAGCCTGATGAGGAATGCGCCTTTTTTCCTCATTATTTTCCCTTGTATGTACATATGAATGCATAAAATCCACCTGCTG